CCAGCGACCGCGGAGCTGGGAGATTACCTCCTTGAGCTTACCTGCTGCCGCCTTACTCCACACCGATTTCTTCGATGCAAAAGTGTCGGTTGCTGCTACTATCCAATCCAATAATGCAGAGGTGCTACCATCTAAGTCTACTTGTATGTCGATCGGGCTACGCCTTATTCTCCTTTCCTCCACGCTGCCATCTCCATCTCCGTCATCGTTCGGTTGAGAGGCGCGAGGTGGTGAGAGCGGTGGCATTACGCGAAATGTGGTTGAGTTGTAAGTGCGCAAAGGGGGCGCGAACAAAACTTTTCATTGATTGTCGTTTTTACACTGGAATCGGTAGTAGCAGGTGACCTGTGCCTCCACTGTGTTTATGAAACGCCTTGTGTTATGGTGAGTAAACTGAATGAGTATTATGTGTGCTCAAAATGGATGATAATTCTAAAGAGATAATAGAATTTCACTCGTGATATGCAAAATACTAGTGAAAACTCATTCTACATTTCACACGCGAAAAACGCGTAAAACACATATGGTGTTTTTCGCTTATAACGTGAGTTCATCAGTGCTCGTTTTACGGGTGAAAGTCTATTATAGCATGCATTGTTGAAATTAGACAATTCAGAAGGAACGTTCATAAGGGGTTGTTTGCTTGAGATTGTTTTCACCTGTGATATGAAAAAAATATTCCAGAATTTTCTTCCTACGTGGAAAAAATTGTGTTGGCGATTACGAAGGCATATACGAATTGAAATTTACATGAAGTGTGCCGTTCCAACTACGGCACTGGACACTCGCGCATTCGTCGTCTCTCTTAGCTCGCCCTTGAGACCCGAATGGTAGTGAGCCCCGTCTCCTTTAGCTGTTGCTACCGCTTCTGGTGATAGGCATGATTAACCCAACTCGTGAAGGCAGGTGAAAGAAGGATTACCAATAGATGGGGAATCAACAAAGAACCAACTATGACTTACACGAACTTGACACTTGCGTACCATAGCTTATCGATATCAATAGGAAATCACAAGATGCCAAGTCGGGTTCGTCTTAGGAATCCGCGAACAGCATCATAGCAACCCACTATTGTCTCTTTCGGATTGATACTCCGATTGCGTTGACTATCGAGTTACTAAGTCATCACAGGAGTATTATACCACTTCACGTTAAACGGGTGAAACTCCATTAATTCACTTTACATAAAGTGTAAATTGGACCAGCTAAGGAGACAATCACGAAAATTCTGCGACCAGTTAACGCGCTAGTTTTATACAACGTTGCGTAGAGAAACTCGCATGTTTTTGATGTTGTGGTTTTTCGAGAAATGCTTTTAGCAATCACGTTTATGCACATGGTTAACTTTGTGTGTTGGTGACAAGGAAATCCTCGTTGGCCTCTGCACACTTCTACCCGCATTATTAGGAAAACGAGGAAATTCTCGAGCTCAGCTGAGGAAAGCGAACGTATATTCCTGCAACACCGACCGATGTTCCCGATTTGGAATGCCTGAGTTAATACCAGTATTCAATTTTGATATTGATTTCAATAGCAATGCTTAATTGGAGATTGATACTGCTACTATCACTATCATGGTCATGTTGCATGATAAGCTGGGCAGTTCAAATTGGGTATACCACGCCAATCCTGAAACATCTAAGTATGAGTGACTCTATGGTAAGTAGTAGTAGTAGTAGTGGTAGTAGGGGTAGTAGTAGTAGTAGTAGTAGTAGTAGTAGTAGTAGGGGTAGTAGTAGTAGTAGTAGTAGTAGTAGTAGTAGTAGTAGTAGTAGTAGTAGTAGTAGGGGTAGTAGTAGTAGTAGTAGTGGAGGAGGAGGAGAGTAATTTTCCGATTTCCATGCTGTCCTCATCAATTTCGTGCATCACGGAAAATTCATCGTTTCTCATCAACGCGCTGCGGCTTTTTTTCATATCTGCTAACTGGGTTTCTGGAAGGTGCGGTATCACCAGTAGTTATCACATATACTGAAGTCTCACCCATTTTACGTGAAGTGGCGTAGAACTAGGTGAAAAACGCGATATTCGCGGTGATATGCAGTAGTCGTGAAATGTGTTCATCACTAGTGTTTTTAACATATCACTAGGTTGGTGAAACTCCACTGTATTTTCTCAGATATCATTAACGTGGCTTGCCGGTCCATTGACCGGGATTTTCGTTCAACCGATGGTTGGAGTCTTATCGGATAGATTCGGAAGACGTCGAAAACCATTTCTCTGCACTGGTGAGACTCAGTGTGAGCAAGTATGCATATGTGTTGGTGACAATATGAAAATTTTGAGAAAATTTTGGGAAGCTCTTGTCGGTTTCTGAACGCTTCTACCCGAATTCGTATGTGAAGTTTTATAATTAGTGAGGAAACTCCTGAGCTCAGCCGCCGAAGAAAGCGATTACATATATTCATCCTCCAACACTGTATCGGAAACTCCTGAGCTCAGCAGCCGAGGAAAGCGATTACATATATTCATACTCCAACACTGTATAGGAAAC